TTACTTCTAGACATTTTATTCTTTTTGATGCAATAGTAAATGGGATTTAAAAAATTTTCTGCTGATAGTTCATTATTAATGTATAGAAATGCAACTTATTTCTGTGTATTGATTTTACATTCTGCAACTTTACTGAACAGTAAATGAAGATGGCTTAAAATCTGAAAATCAATCTATGTAATTCACCACATTATCAGAGTAAAGGAGAAAAATCTCGATTGATAATCTGAACGTGATCATCTTAGATAAAGAACAAGGATATGTTCTTCAATAAAAGTACATTTATAACACTCAAAAAATATGGCATTAATATAAAACTGTTAGCAAATAATCTACATATTCAGTTTTCTCCAGTTGTTCCAATAACATCCTAGTTGTTTTTGTTTTGTTTTCTAATCTGAATTCCAGTGCAGGATCAAATACAGCATTTAATTGTCACGTTTTATTTGATACATCACAACCATTATATAACATGCACAAAAAATATGTGTGACCTTAATTATTGTAAAGTGAATCTGTTTCCAACCCCGACGTGTGAAAGAGGATGAATTCTTGCCACACCCTCCCAGAAGCTTCCCACTGCCCTGTCTCAGATACAGCTGCCTCCTTCTCATCTCAGGGTAGCTGTTACTCTGATTTTTACAATAATCACTCTTTCCTTTGTAATTTAGCTTTACTTGTTTTTCAGTGTGGTTTTGATATTTTAATGATAGAACTTTTTTAATATCTAATTGTCACAGTAATACCATTTTAGTAATAGTATTTTAACATGATCAGTTTTGATAATGTTTCCCCACCATTGTTATTCTTTTTCCTTTTACATTTGTGTTCTCAGTGCATCACATCAGAAGCATATAATGTCTCTGATTACTGATGGTGTTAACTTTTGATCACTTGATTATATTTATTGGGTCTTTCTACTTTGTAAAACTACCCCTTTGTAATGGGTAGTTTGAGACTGTGTCAATACCCTGATTCTTATGAAACTTTGATCCCAGTTTTAGCAGTCACTCAGGATTCTTGCCTCAGAGCATTTTTGCTATAATGTTAGCTGGATGCTATATTAAGAGTTTTCTAGCTCCATCATTCCATCTATAATTAATAGTTGGAATTCTGCTAGGCTTTCTGTTTTCCCTTATGTATTTGTTTCAGTATTT